CGTATCCAATCCTTGCAATCCAAAACTCTTCCTAAAGTCCTCAATGCTCCATATTTTGTTGCAAAGACTTTAATATTCCATACGTCTCTGATCTAGCCCGATCCAGATACCTCTCCATTCGTGATGAACTCCAGACACATCCGAACCTATTTGTCTCCAGGCTTGCTTCCACATCAATCCCTGATAATCCTCCTAAGCACCTGAAAAGAACATGGCCTCGGGATCTTCTTACTTAGAACTATTTATAGAGTTTTTCAAATTTACTGGTTGTATTTATTTAATAAAAAAAAAAAAAATAATAAAACAGCATATAAGAGTGGGTTGAAGATAATTTACGGCAAAGAAAGAACGAATTTATATTAAATTTAATAATAAAAACCATATCCTGTACCAAAGCTTCGATATAAAACAGGACATTATCATTGAAATAAAAATTACGAAGAAAATCTAGCATAAAATTGTTTCTCGTCGATTTAAAAAAAAATGAGTATCATGACAAAAATAATCAAAAAACTAAAAATGTCTCAAGTGATTTATTTTATTCACTTACGTCAAATACCAGATTTTCCTCATTTAATTTACGACTGTAGATTAAGTGAACAGAATAGGCACTAACTTAAAAAAAGGCCTTTAAACTAGTTACTAATTAACATAGTGCCAATTATCTTATTGTTAATTACTAATTAACATATTACCAATTACATATTAATCACTTACTAGACATCTTAATAATTTATAAAGTCAACATATTATACCAATTTTTAACTTTTATTGTAGTTCACTGGTCCCTTGAGAAATATATATATATATATATATATATATATATATTTATATTATTATATCTAACAAAAAACTACAAGAGGATTAACATTTATTTTAATATATATATTTTTTTTGTATTTTTTTTTACATATAATATTCTATCTCGTGGACAATGATTATAGTGATAAATGAACACATTCACACCACATATACAGAAAATATAAAATTAACAAAAGTAAAATAATAACTAAATAATAATAAAAAGAAATTATGTACAATAAAAAATAAAATAACCTAAAGATAAGTAAATTAAAAACACAGTCATCCCTAATTTTAATATTAAAAATACAATATAAAATCTAGTAATTAAAAATAAATTAAATTTCTGTATATAAATAGAAATGAATAAACCCAAAATAGAATTAATAACGACTAAAATCTAAAAAAAAAATTATTTATTTTAAATACGTAAAATATTTAATAAATATTTTCATTTTTTTCGTACGGTAATTTCTTGTTCTGAAAGAAATATCGGTCAAATTTTAATATAAATATATCCACATAGAAAAATCGAACAATAATAACGATATATTTGTTTTAAAATACCGATATGACGATACATCGATTTTTCCATCAACATCTCTAGCTGTTTAATCGGTGTTCTGTTTAAATCAATAACTCCACTAAGTAAAGTTGAAACTGTTGATGTTCAATAAATAATGCTTTCGTTCTTTAATGGGGTTTATTAGAAAAGTGAAAACAACAATAGGGTTGGGATATGTATTTCAAAATTTTCTGAAAATATTCACTTGAAAAAGTATATATCAAAATAACGTTGCTTATGATGTATTAAATATTAATGTATTCAAGGTATTTCGTAGAAACTGAAATTGTAGAAATGATTCAGAACTTAATCTTTAGTGATAATGCTATTGATAAATTATGTAATTTATTCTATGATAGCAGAATGAATCTATATAGGGACTCCTCTTTAATACGTAATGGGAAAGCCATTTTCGAAAATTATTTATAGAAAAATGTAGAGATGTACAAAATATTTAGAATAAGTTTCTATAAGAGTAGATCAAGTAACTGTTATAACTCGAATACATGGCTAGATAAATTACTAAAATTAAAATTTAATTATGAGTATCATAGGATTAAATATTCATGAATCATAATGAATATTTTTATTAAAATTCACCAGTAATATTTCAAAAATATTAATCTCCGATTCTATTCCAAGAAGTAAAACATGAAAAATTTGATTTAATATAAATGCATATTTAAATATAATTTTAAAAACTTATCCGTCTTGCTTGTAAGAAAAAAAAATATATTGTATTTGCAATACAAATTATATATATTGTATTTAAAGGTTTATTGTATTTTTTTAGCTAAAGTGTGAAACCAAGTAAGTCCATTATATTTTGTTTTATTTTTTAAAAATTATTTTATTTCAACAGTCAAAATTTTCTCTCACTCTCGCTCCCTCTCTCTCTCTCTAGGTGAACAACTCAAGGAAAATCCTTATTAGTGTACGTATAATCTTTTTTTAAATGTAATAATAATCAACTTGCGTTTAGTTTGGGCGATTTAAAAATCAATAGTCATATATATTTTTTCTTAAACCCCCATTTTCTTTCTTATGTTTAAACCATATTAGTGTAATTAATAAATAAATAGTAAGTACTATGATAAATTTAAAGGTTTTATATATTTTTAATTCTTATTAATTTATCACTTACACATTTATCACTGATCTCAGATAACTTTTATCGAAAATTTTGCTTTTAGTTACATATGATTCAGTTTTGACCTTATGAATTACGGATTATATAGATTAATTTATATTTAATTTATTAGGCCCAATAATACACAATTGCAAAATGATAATTCTAATAAATCCTTACAAATATTATTAATTATTAATAACAACCGTCTTAGATGAAACTGTAGGGTAATTTCGAAGTATTAAAGAATAAATTAATGATAATTCGCTATAGATTTTTTTATTTTATTATTAATATTTATGAGTAGATCAGAATTTATCTACAGGTATATATAATAATTGTTATAACTCTTCATAATTTTTTTTTTAGAACTTTTAAAAGAGTTTTTGCCAATATTGAGTTGCTTTTATCAGTTTTTATTCAACTGAAAGACTATTTATGTTGTTTTGTAACTCAAAAATCGTCTTAATACGTTAGATTTTGAATTAAATTCGATCGGGAGTTTCTCTAGAAAACGATTGAATTAAATCATAAAAAAATATTGGAGTTCAATTTAATTTAAAAAATGATAGATCTTTAAATTTTGCTGTAGATAAAATTAAAAAAAAAACTTATATTTTGCTGAAGTCCTCCAAATATTGAATAAAATTATGTAGAATTAACACATCTTTATTAATTATATTAATAAAAACTGTATAAGATCGTGTAATTTATTTATTCTTGGAGTAATCCATCTATTTAGTGATAATTTTTAACTTGGATTTACTTTTATTAGAAGAGCTTCAGTTTCCAATGTAAAACAAATAAAAACTGAAATAAATATTAAAATTTTATCATAAACAAACGGGTTCTTCATCATAAAACATTCTATGATTTAAAATGAATTGGGTATTATTGCGTGCTCTATTATAGATTGAATTTTTGATAATGAACAAGATGTAAGACTAAGAGTCAAATGAATAAAGAACTGTTAATTCTTTTTTATTTTTTTATTTTATCCTTAATACAATTGGAATTAAAAACCACACGCTTTGGACCACACGATATAAGTGAAAACATCAACATGACGAGATTAATAATACGAAATATAATTGTAAATAATAGCTCATTATAAAGAGGAAGAAATACTGAACATTTCTCTGGCTTACATTATACAGGTCCGATTTTCAGTTTCTGAGATATTTAAATCCATATCATTAATAAAATTCGTTATAATTTGGTTTTCGATACTACTTTTTTTCTTTTCTCCTCTCTAACAAGGCATCGCGTTAAGATACAATTTTTAATAATAGCTCATTACAGAGAGGATGAAATGCTGAACAATTTCCTCGCTTACAGTATGCAGGCCTGATTTTTATTTTCTGAGATATTTTAATCCAAATGTAAAAACGTTTCGATTAGTAGTCTCTAGCCGACTTTACCCGAGCCTTAACAATTCGTAAATTTCGGAGTTTTCACTTGAAAAATCGTTTTAAAAAATAATGAATCATGTACAAATTTACTGCTTGAGGTTTCTGATATTTTAAGCGAAAATATGACTAAAATTATGCTTGATTGTGGGCGATTTGAATTTTCTTAGTGTCTTAGTTCTTCCTTTCACAGGACCTTCTCCTAACTGAAAATATTTATCGATGAATTAAGAACACAATTTAATTACACAACTGTTATTTTATTTATTTATTTATTTTTGTATTTAATGTTTTTATTATAAAATATAATAAAATGAATCATCAACGAATTGAGTATAAGCATACAGAAGGGATCATGCTTTTAACTTAGGCGATTTTGATGAGTGATACTATTTTTATTAAAGAAGCGTCATGTTCCAATGAAAAAAAAAAAAAAATAAAAACTGAAATACATATTAAAATTTTATCATCAACAAAATTCTTCAACAAAGGTTCTTCATCATGAAGCATTCTATGATTTAAAATGAAGAAGACGTTGCGAGCTCTACTATCAGTTGATTTTTTGATAATGGACAACTTGTAAGTCTAAGAGTCTAAGGAATGGTGATGTGTCAATCTACATTTTTTTTTCTTTTATCCATAATAAAATTGGAATAAAAAACATTAAAAGATTGTTAGAAAAAAATAATGAATCATAAACAAATTAACAGCTTGAGGTTTATGATATTTTAACTGAAAATGTGGCTAAAGTTATGCTTGATTGGGGGAGATTTTAACTTTCCTAGTATCTTAGTTCTTCCTTTCACGAGATGTTCTCCTAACTGAAAATATTTATCGATGGATTTAGAACAAAATTAGTCTGTTATTTTATTTGTTCTGTTTTTTTTCTTTTTAATATTTTTATTTAAAATATAATAAAATGAATTATCAACGGAGTGGGTAAGGGATCATGTTGTTAACGTACGCGATTTTGATGAGTGATACTAATAACATCCATAGTTGCGCATGATTAATTTATATGTATTTATATATTATCTATGTATGCTATTTATATATTTATGTTACATATATTGATGAATCTATGGAGCTTACTCACCACTGGTGCAGGAAGCGACGTTGGATGAAGACTGACTGAGGATTCCAGATACCCCCACTAGACCTTCAAGCTTTAATATACTCCATCACCGGTGGCCAGCTTCCTATGGCAACGCTCAAGAAAAAAATATTCGTTACCTTTATTCGTGCAATTTTATAAATTTATTTAAATATATGACACGTGACCTCTGTAGCTAAATAAATAATCCACACGGAAAATTATTTGTCCAGAGATGTGTTTTGTATAGATCAGTTCGGTTCAGAATGTCAACTAAACATCGTTTTAAAATCTTATAATTTTCGAAGAAGTAAGTATTATTAGTAGTATAATTATATCCGCAATTTTTTTTTTATATTCACATAAAATTGATTATGGGCGATTTCAACTTCTGTAGTCTTTTATTTCTTTCATCCGATATTTTTATAACTAAAAATATTTATCAGTGGACTGGATAGCTCTCTCGTTTTTCATCAATAATTCATGAAGATAGCATATTCAAATTTTAGCACATCATGTATTTAAATATCATATGCGGGACCGGAACAAGGGGAGCAGAAAGAGAAGCAGAAAATATTAAACGAAATTTTATTTTTATGTTAAATAAAATGAATTAATTTTATGAAATGATGACATCTAATTCAAAACACATAACTCTAATTTTTTTTTAAAATTTATTTATTCAGAAATATTACAATCTGTTACAATTAAAAATTGTACACATTTATAATAGTGTTCAGAGAGCGCATTCACACAGAAGAATAAAAATACTAAAAGTAAATCTATATAAACTAAAAAAAACTAGACTAATCAAAATAACAACTAAAATAAAATATTATAAAATACTACCATAAAATGAATTTTATTAGAAAGGATGGGGACGAAAGTAGGAGAAGCGAAGATAAGCTTTCATTCATTGGAAAAAATCTTATTGAACGATAACTGGTGGAGGGAGGGAGAGAGGATGGAGAGGGTGAGGTAAAAATCACACACTATTATGGTATAATATTTATGATATAATATATAATGATATAATACTTCAGGGCTTAAAAGAATAAGATACAAAAATTTACTATTGATTGATATGAGGTAAAAAAAAATTAAATTAGAGTTGGTGTTAGAGTGGTATATCATATACAAGTTTCACATCTAATTTGGAGAATGAGAAATGACATGAATGGCAAGAAAGATAAAATAAGGATTCTATCATTAAATAATTAAAAATAATATAGGCAAGAAGAGAGTAGCGCTGGACTGCTAAGGTTCGAATCCGGCTGATGTCAAGTAATTTTTCATCAGCTGTAGATCGACCCTGGGGTCAGGAGACCCTCCTGGGGGCACATTCAGCCTCTATAAAGTGGGTGCTATTAATTAAATAATTAATTAAGGGGGAAAACCTGGTGGTATTTTACTATCATGAGCCAATCTACGTCATGTTATTCTTAATACTTTAGTTGGTAGTACAACATTACTACAATGAGCTGTTCTAATTTTTAGAATTTCTAGTTCACCGTTCGTCCGATATTAATAATTTTTTTAAACAAAATAATTGTAATTAAATGGAGACGTGGATTCCAACGTTTTCCTATACAGTATTCCCCGCGATAACTGGAGAGATAAGGTATCAGAGCCAAAACATTTGGAGGAAAAGGACCAATAGAGAACTGCTTCCAAACTCTCATAAAAGATATGACGGCCATTAACAGACTTATAAGGGTTAAAAGAAGCTAGATGAGGGATCTTTTCAAAAATTCACACTAAAATCAAGACAGGAAGGGATGCCGCTGGGCACTCCTCTCCCTCAAGCCGATCAATGCTACGACTCAAATTCTTCCCAACAGCATATTTACTGATTCTCAATATTACACGTTTTGAGGTATCCTGAGTCCAAATAACCAAGTCTTGCTAAATTTTCTGGGTATGTGTGAAGGATCTAGCTCAAAAACGAAAAGTCGTACGAAACTGATATTATGTATTTAAGGTATATACCTTAGTTATGACAGCAACTTTTCCCTTGAAATCGGCTAATCGGGAGTGCCACTTTATATCAACGGTGAAACATATTTTCTCAAATACGGCTGTAACGATTTTGACTAAACTATGTGTATCATTGTATAATTAAGTGGTCTTTAACATCATTTAGGTATTATTCCCATTGATGTCACTTTATACAGCTTAAATGCCCAATGTTCATATACGTCTTTCTCTAAAGTATCTTTAGCATGGTTTATTTTAAATAATTAACTGTCTCTCATTATTAAGAAATGCGAAAAAAAAGGCTAAATATAACTTTTGAAAGAATTTGATAATTGAATAAAGGAGAAAAAAAAATGATAATTCAGGTCGAAAATGAATCTCCGGAAATACTCTTCATAAGGAATACGTATAATATATCGTTGAAAAGCGGAGACTTTTAGAAAAAACAATACCTAATATAGAAAGTTGTAGAAGGTTAGGTTAAGTTACTAGTTGACTTAGGCGATCAACAACTTGGTTAAAACGCCCTTGAGCTATGTTGTTATTTTTAACTTGTCTTTCCGAATGTATAAAAAAGTTACTTTAAAAATTGCATTAATTATTATATTTTATGGCACAATTGTGTTTGTTTTAAAAGCTTTATAATATTTTCTATTGAATATATTTGTGTCTTTTAATGCTAGTTCCCTACAACGGGGTATTTTGTTTTTTACAAAGGCTTGATGCAGTAATGTACAATCTTCTATTATATGCTTTATGGCTAGCGGGGACTGGCAGGTATCGCAACATGGTTGGTCCTCTTTTGTTATTAAATGGACATGAGTCAGGTTACTATGATCAATTCTCTTCTTAGCCACTAAATTTCCTCTCTTCTGTTTTTTCTTTCAGCACTTTCCAAGTGTTTTGTATTTTTTTAAAAATATTTATAAGTTTATTAGTCGGTGGAATTTCATTCCACATGGACTCCCAACTTTTTCGTACATTTGGAAAAGTGTTCATATGAGCAGTTTCTTCAGCAGCTTTATCCGCTGACTCATTTCCTGGTAGCCCGGAATGTCCTGGAGTCCAGAAAAAAATTATATTTTTATTAAGGTTGTTTATAATTTCGCTGCATTGGTGGATTCTGTTTATTGTAGGCCCGGTTTTATTGAAGTTTGCTATACTCTGAGGGGCGGAGATTAAATCAGAAGATATTACTATTTTCGAGCTTTCTATATTTATTAATAAATGTAATGCTGCGGAAATAGTCTGCAATTCTACAGTATATATTTGTTAAGGTTGGGAGTAATTTATACCTATTGGGTATCCCATTTATAATTACTGCAAAACCGACATTATCATTCTGTTTGGATGATATTATTATTAATGGTATATTATTTCATGATCTGAATATTTTTGAATTTCTTTTAGTAATTTAGGTTTATTGAAATCTGTGTTTCTGTGCTTAAAACTGAGGTCTATTTTAACTGGTTGGTATTTCCAGAGTAACGATCTAAAAATATGGTCAGATTGGTCATTAGGCATGCTGCATATTTCTGACTTCAATTTGCCTTTTAGTTGGTGCACTTCTTGAAGGATTCAGTTCATAATTTCTAACGCTTTTTGGGTGGAATAAATGGTGGTACACAGGATTTGTTGACTGGAGTTTTAATTTTGCAATATAATTGTTGATTCGTTCCTGCCTTAGGAAAAAGAGAGCAGCTGTGGATGCCTCGGTACAATGACTTCCTATTTGACTTGTCCTAAAAGCATCAGTCTTATTCTCGTGTGGTGTACAGAATCCAGGAGTTGGAGATTATTTTTGCTGAAGAATATACCTAACTACCATGGTCTATTTTAGATCGTATAATGCTGGTTTATACCATTAGCATCGATTTCCGATCTGCTCCTCAAGAAGTTCTTGCAAGTATTTTCAGAAGTCTTATTCGCTTAAAGCATTCTTCTCGCTGTAATTCATTCATCCATGTCAACTTATTATCTAAGACCAGGTCGAGAGATTTTATGTTTTCATTAAACTTTAAGTTGTTTCCATATATAAAAAGATCAGGAATTGGGCTTGGAGTTAGGTAACGGTAGGTAGGTAACGTACTAGTTGTAGAAGGTTGACTAGTTTTAGAAGGTAACGGAAAGTGGCGAACATAAATAATAATTTTTGAAAAGTAATATTATTTAACGTAAATCAGATATTTTCAAGGAAATTAAATGAAATTTACGAACTAAATGTCAACTTTTAAAATATTTTTATGTTTTTAAAAAGTAATTAAAATCCACCTAATCAAGGCAATGACGTCGTTAAAAAAACTATTTCATTGTACTTGTGTGAAAAAAGAAGTGAAATATAAAATCATTAATAAAATAAAATAAAATAAACCGTTAGAGATGAGGCCACCTACACATCTCTTCTCTCTCTCTCCCTCCCTTGTTGCAGTACTTCTTTTATTTCTTTCTTATTTCAGCTTTCTCAATTTCTTCTCTCCTTTCTTTCATTCCTTTTCTCTGTTTTTAACTCTGTATTATATTATACATTGTCTTTACATCTTGATAGACTTTACAATATCTCAATTTTCTATCTAACTACTCCATTCTCAATGTTTTAATTTTACTATTTATTTTCATTACTTATATAACTTCATATTTCTTTTTTATGTTTCACATTTTATTCTAAGATTCGCATTGTAACACTTTTGTCACCCTTTTTGATTATGCCTACTTCATCATTCCACACTTTGTAACGGTTTTTATTATTTATCTCTTAGCTCTTAGTCATTATTCTAACAATTTCATTTTACTTTATATTTATCTATTTTATTTTTTCTATTTTTTTTATTTTTTATTATCTTTTTTACCATCATTACTTATGTTTCTCATACCTTGTTATCTGGTTATTTTCTTAGCCCTGATGAAGGCCTGAACTTCAGGTCGAAACGTCGGCATATGTAAAAAATAAATATTAACATTTATTTTTGCCTTCCTTTTTGACTGACCACCCCAACTATTCTTCTCTTCATTATCTACGACAGTCAACCAATTACCAATTATAAAATCATTTCAT